ACTACAAAATCAATTAACCAACGAATGCAGACGAAACACGAAGATTTATTGCATTTTGCAATTATTACAGACGATTCATACCGGATTTTGCACAAATCTAAATTTCGACAAACCATTTATACTAACAACTGACGCATCTGACTTTGCCCTAGGAGCAATATTATCACAAGGCGAAATAGGTCATGATTTGCCAATTGCTTATGCAAGTAAAGCCCTGCAAAAACATGATATCAATAAGCCCATAATCGAAAAAGAATTATTAGCCATTCTTTGGGGCATCAACCAGTTTAGAACATATCTTTATAGTAGAAAATTCATCGTGGTAACAGACCACAGATCACTAGTTTCATTATTTACACATAAAAATCCGTCATCCAAAATGACAAGAATCAGAGTAGATTTATCTGATTATGATTTTGAAATTATTTACAAACAAGGCAAAATAAATACAAACGCAGATGCACTGTCACGCATCAAAATAGATAGCGATACACTGAAAGCAATGATACCTACCATAGAAAATGACGTAGGAAATATAAAAATTAACATTTTAACAAGGATCAAGGCCGCAAAATTAAGTAAGAATGAAGAAATTAAGCATGTATGTAAAAATAATGAAAATAAAGAAGCGAAAATATATAAGAAAAATGAATACAATGAATTATCCGCGGAACGCATTAGAGATACATCTCCAAAGAAGTCTGATCAACTTCACATATGGAAATGCACATCCTTTAATGACGTTAAAAATTTAAAGAAATTAAAATTTAAAATTGATAAAGAAAGTAGTACTACAATTGAAATAATTAATAATGAAGTGCAAGTTACATGTAGCGATGACCCTTTGAAACTAGATTCAATGTTGGAGAAACTACATAGTACTATGCACAGTTCACATATAAAGGAGCTAGCCCTTTGTAAACAAGAATATATATTTGAAAATATTAAGATGAATGCATTCAAGAATAAATATAATGAGCTCAAATAAAATAAAAGCGCGCCAATAAGAATATTAATATATAAAGCTCCAAAAGAAATAAATGGTGCGATACTTAAATACAAATTAATAGACGAATTCCATACTTCCAACATATCAGGCCATTTAGGTGTTAGGAAGACAATTTTAAAATTAAAACAAAGATATATATGGAAAAATATGCGGCAAATGGTTAAAGAATTTATCAACAATTGCACAAAATGCGCACAGAATAAAACAATAAAACATATTAAAGAATCGCTTGTAGTGACAGACACACCAACTTCAACATTCAGTACAGTCTCAATCGACACAGTAGGCCCACTTCGTATCTCAAACGGCTACAGATACATATTAACGATGCAATGCGATTTATCAAAATTCGTTATAGCACATCCAATCGAAACTAAAGATGCAAAAACTATTGCAACTACGCTAGTTGAACAACTCATTCTTAAATATGGTTTCATACAAACATTAAAATCTGACAGAGGGACAGAATTTATTAATGAACTAATGCACAATGTATGCACATTACTAAATACAAAGCAAATATTTTCAACTCCGTATCATCATCAAACAATTGGGTCACTAGAACGAAACCACAGAAAATTAAACGAATATTTACTTTTGCTGACGATTACGAAAGGCACAAATGGATACCATATTACACATTCGCATACAACACAACACCTCACATAGACACTGGTTATTCACCTTATGAGCTGGTATATGGTAAATTACCATCGCTACCAAGCGACAATATAAATAAAGTAAACAAATGCTATGACATTGAAAATTATGCAAACGAATTGCATATTCGGCTAAAAAATTCAATTTCAAAGGCCAGAAAATTAATAAATACAGTAAAAATAAAAAGAAAACAAGAATATGACAAAAATATAAACAAATCTAATTTCGAAATTGGAGAATGGTGTATGTAAAAAATGAAAATAAACTAAAACACCAGAGTCCATATCACGGACCATACAAAATTATAAACACAAATGGAACAAATTCCATTATTAAGATAAGAAACAGTTGTAAAGAATTTCATAATAACCAATTAAAAAAATACTTAGGAATATGTCTATAACATAAACAAAAATGTATTTTAAATTAATCGTATGTAAAAATTATTATTTTACATATCATTTCAATACAACATACATAAATTATGAATAAGTATAAATATGTTACGAATAAGACACATTAGACAAAACAAAATATAAAATATACTAAAATGTATATATAAGATAAAAATATAAGTAAAGAAAACATGTAAAGCGATTCCACGACTTCACCATAAACAAAAAAAAAATTATTCCGTTCATTTTTCACGTAATAAGTTTTTCTTAAGGGCAAGGGTGTAGTGGACCTACCTCACTTACCTATTAGCCACTTGTAAAAACACGAAAAATTAAAATACGAAAATGCAACCATGAGTGTGCAAAAATAGCAAATCGAGCGTTTGACGTTTAAAGAGGAGTATGGCGAAATACGACGCGTAGAGTGGAGGTTTTTTTGGTTGCTTTGGAGCGAATGAAATAATATATATATTAAACACTGCTACTATCAATATAATAAATAAACTAGGTTAAAATCTTAAAAGCTTTGCAAACTGTTTTATTTTACAATAACTTAACAAAAATCAGAAGTGGGATAAACAGCGCCTAGCCGAAACGTGTGAGTGTGTCCTTGGGAGCGCTAGCGCTTCAACACATTAACATGCGCGAAAGCGAAGTTAAGGTATAAAGAAAAACAAAACGAAACGGGAACGAAATTTGTTGTTTATAAATTAACGGCGGTAATAAAATGAGAATGGTGAAGTTGAAGGATATGCGTTTAAGCGAGCTGAAGGAGGCGTTGGAGGAAGAAGGTTTAGATACGACGGGCAACAAAGCGCAGTTAGTATTGCGTCTGACAGAGCACCTGAAAGCAGACGAAATCCGCGAGCCGGTAGATGTGATCAATTCACGAATAGATAATATGGAACGAATGATTCAACAACTTGTAATGGGCATAGAAAACGTGACACGAAGTAAACCTACGGAAAACGTGAGCGAAAAAAATGAAAATCAGAAGACGGAAATTACATCTACAGTGGTTAACGATTTACCACAACATGGGTCGGTAAAAGATATCAGCGAAACGATACCCGTGTTCGATCCAACAGATAAAAATGGTGTTACGGTTGGACAATTTATCAATCGCGTCGAAAGATCTTTTAATGCATTCCAATGGAATGAAAAACAACTATTGCTAGCCGTTTATGGAAAGTTAAAAGGAGTAGCGCGGTTGTGGCTGGATTCTCTACAAGAATTTGATAGCGAGTGGAGCAGTTTTTCGAATAAGTTGCGTGCAGAATTTGATGTAAAATGTGACGAAGCTGACATTAATTTTGAATTGAGTCAAGCGGTACGTAATGTTAATGAAGGCATCATTGACTATTGTTTTCGAATTGCGGCACTTGGCCGACGATACAAGATAAGTGATAGTGCCATTATAAAATATACTCGCAATGGACTAAACGACACTAAATTGCAAGCGGCGATCGCACCGCTACGGTTTAATAATTTAAAAGATTTTCGCGAAAGTATTGAGGACTTTTTACGCAATATGCAACATGGAACGAACAAAATAGCTTTGGCAAATTCATCGTCAAATCCGATAATAAATTCGAGCGTAAGTGTAGACGCAAATGAAAACTCCGGACAGAAACAGTTTAGAACGGAACCGAAGGTTAGAGCTTGCTTCAATTGCGGTGAAGCGGGACATTTTTCGCGCGAATGTTCAAAGCCACAACGTAGACAACGGTGTAACAATTGCGGAAGAGTTCACCCAAAAGGTCAGAGTACGCACTGTGGGGAGTCAAGTGTGCGTCGAATTGAACGCACCAAAGAATCGATCAGAGAAGTATACATAAATGGTAGACAATGTACAGCACTACTTGATACAGGTAGCCAGTGCAGTCTTATACGGAAAACAGTATCGAGAAATATTAATGGTCTGTCACATCGTAGTTATGATAACGATCAACAGCGTAACTCGGGTCGTCAAGAACATTACAACTACGATGGGCAGCAACAGCAAAATGATGAGACACGTCAACGTAAACACCGTCGACGACGTCAACGTCAAAACGGTCAGCAACGTCAACGTAAAAACGGTCAGCAATCACATAACGGTAACGGTCAGCAACAGCACGATAACGATAATCAGCAACAAATAAAGTCACAATGTGATCTGCAGCAATGTGGCGATGGTCTGTCACATCGTAGTTATGATAACGATCAACAGCGTAACTCGGGTCGTCAAGAACATCACAACTACGATGGGCAACAACAGCCAAATGATGAGACACGTCAACGTAAACACCGTCGACGACGTCAACGTCAAAACGGTCAGCAACGTCAACGTAAAAACGGTCAGCAACGTCAACGTCAAAACGATCAGCAACGTCAACGTCAAAACGATCAGCAACGTCAACGTAAAAACGGTCAGCAACGTCAACGTAAAAACGGTCAGCAATCACATAACGATAACGGTCGGCAACAGCATGAAAGCGATGGTTATAAAATACATAACGGTCGGCTGTATCGTATGGTTGATGATAAGCTTTTATGGGTCGTGCCGAAACGTTTAAGACATCGAGTTCTTCGGGACTGTCATGATAGCGCAGGACACATGAGCGTTGAAAAGACGATAAACCGAATTAAAACCCATCTATGGTTTCCACGAATGCGAAACTTCACAAAGAATTATATTAAATCTTGTGTTGAATGTGCGTATAATAAACAGCCAGGGGGGAAAAGGGAAGGAATTTACCATTTCGATAAAATAGAACCTGTACCATTCAAGACCATACATATGGATCACTTAGGACCATTTCCTAAAAGTGTGAAACGAAATGAATATCTACTCGTTATAGTAGATGCTTTTTCGAAATTTACCGTACTAAAGCCAGTTAAAAGTACCGCGACAAAGCACGTACTCAGCGCAGTAAATGAAGTTATAAGTTACTGTGGAATGCCAACGAAAATAATTACTGATCGAGGGACTGCGTTCACAGCGAAAGATTTCGAGAGGTTTTGTACTCGGAACCATATTCGACATATTAAAAATGCAGTAAGAACTCCACGAGCAAATGCTCATGCCGAACGGACTAATCGAACAATATTATCGATGCTGTTACCAACAAATACGGTTGACAAACGATGGGACGAAAATATGGTAAGATTGAAATGGTGCCTAAATACGATGGAGAATGCGACAACGAAATGCACACCGTACGAGTTGCTGTATGGTTATCAACCTCGTGATATACTTCAGAACGCATTAATTCTAACTCTACATAACGACGACACTCTGACTACTGATCAATTAACGGATTTACGCAGAACGATTGCAGAACGAATTACTGATGAGCGAGCTAAAGCTAAAAGCCGATACGACAAGCGGTACTTACAGCCAACGAAATTTCAAGAGGGTGATCTAGTATTAGTCCAAAACGAGCCGTATAGCACGGGTGAGTCGAGGAAACTAGAGCCGCGTTATAAAGGCCCCTTCATTATTACTAAAGTACTCGACAAAGACCGATATGTAGTCAACGATTTACCCAACTCCAAACGAACACAGCGGCAGTACACCTCGGTGTATTCGTTCGATAAGATCAAGCGATGGTGTCAGTTGCCTTACGATGACAGTAGCAGCGAGGCTGATAACGACGATGATGACGACAATGATAACGTTGCCGAATCGACGGACAAAGCGGGGTCGCTTTGAGATGTCAGGAGGCCGACTGTAAAAACACGAAAAATTAAAATACGAAAATGCAACCATGAGTGTGCAAAAATAGCAAATCGAGCGTTTGACGTTTAAAGAGGAGTATGGCGAAATACGACGCGTAGAGTGGAGGTTTTTTTTGGTTGCTTTGGAGCGAATGAAATAATATATATATTAAAAACTGCTACTATCAATATAATAAATAAACTAGGTTAAAATCTTAAAAGCTTTGCAAACTGTTTTATTTTACAATAACTTAACACACTTAACATTACTTATAAATTAAAATAAGCAAATTTATGAATTACCGCACAAGAAGCATAAGTAAAGCGACATAAACAAAAGAGTTTCGTATTACCAACGAAAGTATTGCCACACGCTGTTCCAATATTTGACGATTGCTGAACACATGTTACAATACTTTCAATAATAATATTTCCTATATTGCAATAGACATGTGCAAGCAATATTGTCAATGCACTCTAATAATAACTATAACGTTTGACCTAAATGAGCAAACAGTGTAGTTGCAATGCAATGCATTCTGCAAGGTCAGCAATCACTTTGATTGGCTGCCGTTATACTTTTCCAGGTTTGGTCTGGAATGAAGAGGCGGAGTCTTGAGATCGCTACAAACTAGAATATTGTATAAAAACCCAAATTATTGTTAAATAAAATCAGAATATACTTATGACTGCAAACTGATGCGTTATTGATTTTATTCTCACACCCTTCTGGCCACGTAACACTGGCCTAGTTACCAGCGGAAACAAGCCGCTTCATTACTTGTTCTTGATTGCATCAATAGGATTAGGATGCATGCTCGTATTAAGCAGGAATAACTGTTCATATATATTACGTCTCACGTTATTGGGAGATCTTGCTTACATACCAGCATTCATTAAACATTACAAGTTGCATGGCTTTGTACATTTCTCTTCTTTTCGTTGGAGTAAGTCTATTTTTTGCGTTGAAGTCTCCTCCAATTATAAAACGGCCTTGAAACCGGTTAAAAAGAGATAAGTAGTCTGCGCACTTCAACTGATGTCTGGGAGGACTATATAATGCTATATAATGCAGAAGTAGCTTGAAATTCAATTGTGCTAAATTGTTCTAGTAAGTGATGTTTTATCGAGTTTCTAATTATGACAGCGCTGCCACCCCTAGCGCAATTATCGGGATGTATGGTATGGTATAGAATATAGTTTTTAAACGTTATGTGCGATTGCTTAGTAAAATGAGTTTCAGCGATTAAACCGATATCAATGTTTTCGCTATTTAATACGACTTCGAGTTCATTTTTATGTTTGGTTAAGCCATTCGCATTCTATAAGAATAGTTTCAAACGATTAATCATAATCTAAAAATTGCATATTGTGCTCAAGCACGCTCAGACATTGTTCGAGGGTTTAAATACCTCTTCTTGTAGATTAAGTTTTGTTAAGATAATTGACAACGCGTTGTTGCTTTGTGATTCAGTACTTTGAATGGGTCCCTTTACAGTTTGGGCGTAAGTGACTGTTCTAACACTAGTAGGTCCAGTAATTTTGGATTTACTTTTTGTTACAGCAACTTGATTATTTTCGTCAGCCTTAGTTTTGTCACCTTTGTTTTTTAATTTTATTCTTTGTAATTCTTTAGCAAATATACAACCACGATAGTTTGCTGGATGCGGTTCGCCACAGTTGCAGCATTTAGGCTTATCGGACAGTGTCTTTTGGCACTTCAAAGTTAATTGTTTACCAGCGCATTTAAAACATCGTGGAGGTTTTCCACAGAAATGCAATTTTTTGAAATCATTTATGCCATTGATAACAATAGGAGGAGGTCGAGCAATTTTATTAGGGGCAGCTTGTCCTTTTTGGTTTAAATATATATAAAACATGAATATGATCAACCGGGAAAATTAAAGTAATCTAAATAAAATTATACACAACGAATTTGAAAATCAGTAAAACTGCAGAGTAAAATACTAAGTTTAAGTATATACAAAATATGAATATATTTTTTTTACAAAAAGCCGAACGTGAATTCAACTGAAAAAATTAAAATAATCTAATTAGAATCATAGACAACGATTTTTTTTTAAATCACTAAGACTATATTTTAAGTGTAAACTATATAACGTGAAAGCCATACCGAAATATTCTAAAATAATTAAATGTAAATTGAAGACAATAGAGTGCGGTGCGTTGTGTTTTTTTTTGTGACTGTAGCGTTACTAAAATTACAACCTATCGCCAACGGGCTCTAACATATGTAGATCCTTTGCCGTCACAACCAATAATCATTAGAAAAATATCTTCGGTACCTGCCTTTCATCCCAACAGCAAAGACTCCAGTAACGTACCTACTCCTCCTGCGTATTTTTCTATGAGAGCAGTTTTAGACGTTTAAACTTTATGCAAGCTTACACTTCTGAATTGATTTTTTTTTTGTTTATTTTCTAGTGATAGTTACAAATTTAGATAAAATCAAAAATACGTAAGATTTGTTGCACAGGTAAATGTACAGCAGTGAAGCGGTGACGTTATATCAACTACTGTGGTGAGTATCTCTTAGCTTATTTGTATGTTTTTTTTATTTTTGTTTGAATAATTAAATATTAATGGAAGGGAATAAGGAATATGAAGTGCATTGCTATTGAAACCTTTCTTTTGGATATATAAAAAAAAAAATAAAAAAAATATTGTTCCTAAACATAAGGTAAATTAAGGTTAATTTTTTCTTGCCGATAATGGCGTGTCTTTTTATGACGAAAGAAACTATTTAAAAGTTAGACGGATTCGAATAGCAAAGAAAGGACAAAGACAAAAATTTTTTATTTTTAATTTATTGAAATTTGGCTGACCATACAACGCTGTTTCGAGTATTGCCAAGTACTCTTCATCAGTGGTGTTTGGAAATAATCGAATTTTATTTAATTAGTTTATAGTCCGTATATAATTTGTTCGGACTGCAAGTGTCAGGCTTAGAACTCGTGTCTGTCAAATTAGAAGCGTTGACTAATCATGTTTATCCACAAATAACCAAGGCTGCACAAACTTTCAATGCTCAAATTCCAGGTTTTGTCACTTATAACGAGCTTATAAACTACAGCTTTATTTGGAAAAACCAACCAAAGCACTTGCCGTGCTTTAAATTAGAACGAGCTTATAAACTACAGCTTTATTTGGAAACACAAGTTCGTTTCAAATAAAGCTGTAGTTTATAAGCTCGTTCTAATTTAAAACACGGCAAGTGCTTTGGTTGGTGTCACTAATTAAATAATAATAAGTGACAAAACCTAGAATTTGAGCAATGAAAGTTTGTGCAGCCTTGGCTATTTGTGGATAAACACGATTAGTCATCGCTTCTAATTTGACAGGCGCGAGTTTTAAGCCTGGCACTTGCAGTCCGAACAAATTATATACGGACTATAAACTAATTAAATAAAATTCGATTATTTCCAAAGACCACTGATGAAGAGTACTTGGCAATACTCGAAACAGCGTTGTATGGTCAGCCAAATTTCAATAAATTAAAAATAAAAAATTTTTGTCTCTGTCCTTTCTTTGCTATTAAGGTAAATTATTTAAATCATAACTTCGATAGTTTATATAACGATAATGCGTGAAATGTGCGAGAACTTTCTACAAAATTGTGGTAAGATAAACAATAATCGTTTCCGCGATGCGAATGAAAGTGAACAAAATCTTCAATCTTTCAATAAGGGAAAGACTATTATGTGATACAATTGTGGGAGTCAGGCCACGCTTCAGTAAATTGTGCAAGACCCCCAAAACGAACTCCATCGACGGCGAGTAAATGCTGTTAATAATACTGATAGCAAACGACCTTATGCTAAAACACGTTTCGACGGCAAAAATATGAAACCAACGAAATATGCAGACGGTGATTTAATTATCTTAGAGAAATTATTCTCTAAGATAAATGTTATGTATATTAATGTAAGTTGATAAGTTAAGTATGTTAAGTTATACATTTAGTATCAAAAAAATTTTTTTTTTTTTTTTTTTATTTTTTTTTATTTTTATAACATCATTAAATGTAATTAATTAACTAAATCTATGAAAATAATTATTCATTAAATAATTTTAACCTATCCTTATGTACCATTTGTGTTTTCCTTTTATTATTTTGTATTACTACATTACCTTTTTCGACTAAATTTATTACTGTAAATGGTCCTACGTATTTATTGTCTAACTTATGTCCTGCTTCATTTTTTAATAATACCTTATCTCCTACGGTTAACTCTATATTTCTTGTTTCCTTATCATAATTTTCTTTTTGTTTTATTTTGGCCTTTTCGAGAAGCATTTTTGCTCTAGTATAGGCAGTTTCTAATCTAAATTTTACTTCCTCACTATAATCTTCTATATTATAAATAGGATCTACTTGGGTTATTTTACTAAATGTTTGAAAGTTATTAGGAACTCTTCCATAGACCAACTCGTATGGACAATATCCATGTACACTTGAAGGAGTGGTGTTAAAACAATACGTAAAGTATTTTATCCACTCGTCCCAATCACTTTTATCAACATTAATGTACGATCTAATGTACTCGTTGAAAGTTCGGTGATTGCGTTCAACAGTCCCTAGTGTTTGGTGGTGGTGAGCAGTCGATGTAACATTGTTAATTTTTAAATATTTACAAAGATCGGTCATTATTGAATTTTTATATTCTGTTCCCATGTCCGTAATGAACGTCTTCATTGGGCCATGTACCAGTATAAAATTTTCAAATATGGCCTTAGCGATCGTTTTTGCGCTTTTATTTGGTACAGGTATTGTTACCAAATATTTAGTTAAGTCACATATAATAGTGACGGCGTATTCATTGCCATTTTCCGTTTCCGGTAATGGACCAATGGTATCGATTAGCACAATATCAAACGCATTGCTAGGCGTTTCTGTCAACGTTAGTGGGGTTTTTGAATGTCTTATAGTTTTGGACATTTGGCATTGCTTGCATGCCTTAATGTACTTGGATATATCCTTTTTCATATTCTTCCAATAAAAATATCTCTTGATTTTTCCGTACGTACGTTTGTACCTACTCCTCCTGCGTATTTTTCTATGAGAGCAGTTTTAGACGTTTAAACTTTATGCAAGCTTACACTTCTGAATTGATTTTTTTTTTGTTTATTTTC